GTAGAAACTTTACAATAGTTTTCATTACTTCCTCTCCTGAGAAAGTGGCTTGAATCTGCTGCAATATCTATGTTTCTCTCTTTTTTCTTCACTTCAAATATTTTCTTCTCAGAGTATTTGAGCTTCTCAACCTGGTTCTGCTTTTTTCTGCTTCTTCTACTTCTTCTACTTCAGGTTTTCTTCTTGCTGCATATTATCCTTCAGCTTTTTCTTCTCATCAACTCAAAAAGAAAAAAAGTGCAGAAAAGAAGTAGTAAAATAAGCTTTTATACTGTGAATTAGATCAAATTAACAAGCTGCAGAATAGTGTGATAAAAACAGCTAAGACCTACTTCAAAGATAAAATCATCTACTGTTATTTGATTAATATTTCAATATGTTTGATCAATAGTCAACCTTTCTAGAAAATTATTTATTAGAGTTTATGAAAATGAAGTATTGATATATTCTCAAAAGCTAATTCTAAATCATCTCAAGTATGCTGTATTGAGGCTGGTCAAGCTATATTGTAAAGAGAATACTTTGCAAATGTCTATATCAATTAATTGAGCATACTATTGTTTCATATTGAACTTGATAAGATGATTTTTAGAGTTTTAAATAATGAGTACTAGCAGAGTATTGGCAAAGTAATAGTAACTTATAAAAAGTATGCCAAGGAAGCTGATGTGAGTGTTAGATATGTATCACAAACTAGATCTCATAACTACAACTATGCTTGTCTTGTGATCAAAACTGATTCTAAAATTTTGACATGTTTGAATAAACAATATTCAAAAATATAAATGAGTCTCATGATCTACTATTACTATCTCTACTAATATTTCTCTAGATGAGAGAAGTTCTCTATAAATATTGACCTGTTTCTTAAGTTTGTGAAAAATAAATATTCAAAATAGAAGAAGATCTTTTGTCATCATGATCTATCATATGCAAAGATGATTCTCAGTGAGCTCAGAGCTTATGAATAGAAGAATAATGAGATTTTTCAGAGTAAGAGAGAAATGCTGACAGTCATAAGAATATATTTAACTGAGCTCATACAGAGAGAAATGAACAAAGAGTATGATAAGCTTAACAGAAAATAGTCATGTCACAGCTTGCTAGTACAGACTTTTGAATAATATATACGTAAAGCTAATTCATTAATAGGTATGTTTTTTACTATGAGACTGTCTGGAAAAGTTATCTAACAGTCTTTTTAGTCGTCAGTCATTAGATAAACTTGCACAATGACACTTCAATGCAAGTTCTCACTACTGCTGCAACTTTAGCAACTCAGTGTGACAGAATATATATCATATAGCAGGCTGTTGATACAATTCAATTTTTATCTTTTTCAAACTCACAGTTCATATTGATAGAATTCTCTAGCACTGCAAGTCATGCTAGCTTTACAGCCTTTCATATGCAATTACTCAATTATACAATGAATTCAAGAGCTGCTGTGAAGAATTTGACTATCTCAGCTAAAACACTGCTATTGACTGTATTTTCACAGTCTTACTTGAATGATTTGACTGAAATAAATAGTATGATCTGCTGGAGTGTGATTGATAAACAGTACTAATACTCATTCTAGACTTCATTTTAGCAATCACTTATGTGAGGTCACAAGTGATCAGCAATCTCACTAATTATTTTTTCAACTCGATAATGTTCATAACTGACATCTGCTCAGACTATGCAAGGCTGCAAGTTATTAATAATTCTACTGATTATTTTTCTAACTCAATAATATTTATAACTGATATCTGCTCAGACTACACAAGGCTGTAAGCAATCAGCAACCTTACTAATTATTTTCAGAGTTCTATAAATAAAGTAATAATATAGATAGCAATAAGTAGTTTCTCAGATTTGAGAGCTATCAATATGATACTAATAATCATCAAAGATTCTGCAAATAACTACATGAATTCATTATGATCATCATAACATAGTCTATACTAAAGACAATAGCTATAACTGTTTTAGCATGAGAATATATATATAATAGAATCATATTCAGAATTCTTCTCTTTTATCATTTCTGTGATATTGTTTCAATCTTCAAATTTATAATTCATCTCAATCTTTTCAGTTTTTATTGCTTTGACTTTCTGTCTCAGATTTGCCTTGTTTGAAAGCTTTATTCTCTCTCATTGAGTGAGCTCCTTTTTGTTTGCAAATGCTAGTATAATCACATAACCTTGAATATTGAAGCTAAGATAAGCATTTAATACTACTTTAGAAATATACATCAGTCTTATATGTATTGAATGAATAGTTGCATTTATACTTATAAACTTTTATCTTTTATATTTTTCTGAATTTTTTTTAATATCTGGCTTTTTGAGAAGTTCTTATTGAATCTCTAATAACTTATTTAAAGTCTTCTTGGGTTTCAAAGGTGCATGATGAGATTTTTAAAGAGTAATCTTTGATTCAGTTCCTAGCAGTTGAATGATTATTACTTGAAGTTTTGACTCTTAAAGATCTGCTATGCAGTATATATATTGTGAGAAATAGCAAAACATCATATGAAGTGCAAGAGCAGACTATGAAAAAAAAAACTCAACAATTTGATGAACATGCTGCATATTTCTCAGTAAATGTTATTAATAACTAATCTGAGTCATGTACTTTATTATTCAATATGTTGATCTTGCAAAAATTTAATTTTTCAAAAGTTCTGAAGAAGTATTGTTTAGCAGCAAATTTATCAACTCTTCTTCTGATAGTAAAATCTGCTCTTGTAAAGAAGCTGTCAATGTCAATGAAGGAAATTAAATCCTCTGATTACAGTGAATTTGAAGACATTATTATTGATAAATAAGAATTTTTTTTTTTTTTTTTTTTTTTTTTTTTTTTTTTTTTTTTTTTTTTTTTGAGTTGATGATGTGCAAACTGATGAGTGAGCTTTTATCACAAATGCTCTTGACATCTCATGACTATTAAGTGAATGAGGTAAAGTGAAAAAGTAAAAGCATTCACACAATTACAAACTCACTTATTAACAATCAGAAATATATTTTTGCCATATACTTACACAGCTAAATTCTAAAAAGTCTATTAATACAAATATAGCAATCACTGAAAAAATCATTGATTTCACATGATCTTTGTAATAATATCATCTGAGTGTAAGTGTAATCATTAAATCATTATTTTCTCATTATGAATCACTATTAACACCCCCTCACTTGTTTGTCTTTTTGCACTATTTGACAGTTAACAAAAAGTATCTTCTCATATTAAAAACTAGTGCAGCTATGCCAGCATTTAAAGAATAAGAAAAAACATTGACAGGATGTAAAGCAGGCTTAACAGATCTCAGAATAAGCTCAATAGACAAATTAGAAGAATAGATATAATCTTTAACACTTTTTGAATAATCTTTAAATATCAAATAACAAAGTGAGAAAACTTAATAATATCTATTTATATCAAAATTAAATATCATTAAGAGTATCTAGCGTACTAATGAGCTAGAAATAAATCATGATAGTAGTATGTCATTGCTAAAGCGGAGCTGAGCCCAACAAGGTAATAGATTAGTAGGGATAGAAAGGTGCACTTTTTGACCTCAGTACAAATATATTTTATCATTTGATTAATTATATTGTAACTATAAACATGGACAAAGCTTGGACTTCCACACATAATTCAATATTTCTATCAAATCACTCATGCCTCACCCCTGTCTGCACTTACTTCACCACAAGAATATTATTATATCATGTATGTGGGCTGCTCATCATTCCACTCATACTGTAGTAAGAGAGACTTGACTAAACTGACTTAACCAATTTATTCTCCACTAGTCCCAATTGAGCTATATCATTCTCAACTTTAATGGAGGATGATTCTTGAACTGTCTATTTCATTTGATCATACACTTGAAACAGTACATTTGCAACAGAAACAGCCAAGCATATAAGGACTCCACAGAGAAAAGATTATATATACTAACCATTCTGAGCAGCAAGTATGCTGAAGTACTATAGTGCTAAGAGAACAGCCATCTGAGGCTGTTCAGCAATACCTCCAGATGTGAATGAGATGGGTGAAACAAGCTGAAGGTTGCCGCTGTCATCCATTCTTCAAAATACAATCAATTTACAATTGATAAGAAGAAAGCTGTGTTGAGAATTATGCTGTCTTATATACCAGTTGACCTGACTGAGTGCTTGGCGATACTTGTTGCGAATTTCAAAGAGTGGGTGGGTTGCAAGAGCTGTGCTCTATTTCTACAATAACTTGACATCTCCTGGAGCACAGTTTGAACTGGTGCCTGCTGGCAGTGCAACTGTAAAATAAGTGGTGTCTGGCTTGAAAGCATCAATAACTTCAGCATACTCTCCAACATCAAATGACAAGGGAGTGAGGTTGTTCATTTGATTGACTGCCATCAACTGGTCAAACTTAGTTCGAAGAGCCTGTCGCACTCTTGGAAAGACATATTCTGAGATCTTGCTTCTAAGAGCATTCTCTGCTTCAAATCTCCCAGCACAAAGACCTCTTCCCCTTCTCATCGCCTACATTTCTGCTTTCCTATCCTGCCCCCCACAGCAGCTTGGACGCTTTTGCATCACCACCTGTCCTCCTTTATTACATCTCTCATCTTTTCTCAGCCCACAAGCCAATAGACCCAGTCACACAAAAATCCAGAAAATGACTTTGACAGGATTTTAGAGGAGATCTCATCAGATGACAGGAGTCAATCCCTCAGCATGAGCTGGAGAAACATCAAGGACTACGCCACTACCCCTTGCAGATCAGATCTTGGTGATCTTTTCCGCGACTGCCCTGAGATACTGGTTAAGGCGGATACAGCTGCGGAACGCGTCCTTGAAGTCAGCTTTCACATATGCCAGTCAGGTGAAAGTACAGGTCTATCTTTAAGTTTGCTCATGATATGTCTGAATGATCTGCTAACTTCAGTCTCATTTCAGATGACCTGATTGTTGTAGATGACTCAATGGTGATAGGTCATGATGATGAGCAGAGAGGTGAGTCTGCAGATATGCTGACTTCTCCATCAATGCTGTCTGCCCGCGAGACGTCCATGAATTGAGGTGGCGGGTTGGATGGGATGACTGATTGCAGAGCCTCACTAGCTCCCCAAGAAGTTTCAGGTAAGCATCCTTCAATTCCCATCCTGCAGTCTCCTGCTGACCCTCAATAGAAGTCCCCCCTATTATCACAGATGTGGTGATCACTTCTGACAGACCTCATACCAGTGTCTCTCCACGCCCCTGGAGTTGATCTCCAATCCTAGTTGATCATCTCAATGTGACTCAGCAGGAGTGGTGGGTCAAGAAAGTATTGAATTACCAGATCCATGTGTGAGGGGGTCAATTAACTCTCAAGTACCATGTTGCATGGATGCCTACATGGCAACTGCAGACTAATTTGATTCTGGGCTGCGAGGGGTTAGTCAAAGAATTCCACGTGGAGTGGAAGGACAAATAGTCTTCATCAATCAACCTGGCTGTAGAGGGTTAAGCTCTAAGAACTAGAGGCTAGTCCTCCTATATAACAAGGACAAATTGCTTGAAAAAGGGAAGAAAAGAATGAGATGAGAATATGAGCTTAAGCAAGCTCGCGTAGCATGATCACATGTGCACATGCAAATGATGACTAGGCTGAGTCAGCCAGCCAGAGTGAATCTAAGAGTTCAGCTTCTTATAATACCTCTCTTCTCCCTCTTTGTTATGAGTCTTTACAACTATTTAAAGCTCTCTTTACACCTAATTTTGCCTGCTGAGAGGTCTCTCAAGTGTTCAAAGCCTTCACTTCTTGTAGAAGACTCATGTCATTTCATGTAGACTTAGCTCAATCTACTCATTTAACAAGATATTACTTTTTTCTCTGATAGATTCATTTACTCTGAATTTTCTCAATCTCAAACTCAGGTCCTTTCAGAGTCTCTATAGTGAGTGGCTGTTAGTCAGTTTGTCTCTGACTAGGCAGAGAATCTGTTGTCACAGCATGTAGAAGCTTTACATTAAAGTCATTGTGAATGCTGAGTGAGATATTCAGTCAGTAAGTATGAAATTCTATTTTTTCTAACACAGTATATTGATTGTATTTCATATTTAGATTCTTGCATGAGTGATTAGTTCTCATGTTCTCTAAGCTCAATCAGATTTTATCTTTAGATTAAAAGCTTGAAGCTGAGTCTCTTCATCTATTCATATAGTTCTTTTGAGATTGCTGAGCATCTGTTATTTTTACTTGAGCTCACTTCAATACTTTGCAGATCTTCTTTATATAATTATCTGCAAATTCAATGAGATTATGTGATATTTCAACAGGAGGTGCATCAGCTATATCAATGAAGAAGACATGAAAAAGATATGTTAAAAAGAATTAGCTCACATCTGTTGAGGCAGCATCTCTATTATTGATGATCAGCTCTGTCAGAGAGAGTCATTCACATCAGTCATTCTGTTGAAAGCTAATGTACTTGTGTAGATAGATTTTCAGAGTCTGATTTATTTACTCTGTAGCTTCATCAGTCTCTGAGTGATAGACTATGAAGAGTCATCTCTTAATGTCTAATTTCTCACACATCTGAGTTCAAAACATGCTTGTGAAAGCTGATTCTTAATCTGACACTACTGCATTAGAAATGTTATGTCAAGGAATAATGTTGTGAAGAAACACTTTAGTCACTATCTTCACATCAGTTTTCTTAACTACTTTTAATATAACTTTCTTAATCAGTCTGTCTGTTATAATCATGATGTTTATGTATTCTTTAGAGCTTGATAAGTTCATAATAAAGTTCATGAAAAGCTCCTGTCATATATGTTCAAGAATGAGAAGAGACTTAAGCAGTTTCTGATATCAATCTCTTCATGCAGTATTTGATCTACAAAGATGACAGTTTCTGATCATTCTTCTCACATCAGCAGCATAGCTTGATCAGTAGAACTCATGTCTTAGAACTTCTGCCATTTACTCTCACCCAGAATGATCAGTAAGAGGTGAGTTATGAGTCTTGTGCACTAATCTGATTCAAAGAGATTTACAGTCTGATACTCACTTACAATCTTGAAAGAGAAGCTCTCTGTTCTCATTTAAAGAGCACTCAGAGATGAAGATCTTAATGCTGAGTTCAGAAGAAAATCTAAATCTTTTCTTATAAAGAGTCTGCTTCAGATGCTACAGAATTTTGTCATTTTTATAAGTCTCATTTCACTGAGCTTGAAGAGATATCTCAGGTTTCACACTGGCAGCAATCACTCTTGATTTCATTCTAGCTGTCAGTACATTAAATTTAAGTAGTTGAGCTTGTCTCTGCTTGATTCTCTCATCATCAGTGCTCTGTAGCATGTTCTGCTCTTTTCATGATAGAGTGTCAGATTCAGTATTCAACTTCTCTGACTGATAATTAATTCTGAAGTTGAATTGATAGAGAATATTCATTCAACATAGCTGTCTTTCATTTAGTCTGCATGTAGTCATAAAGTATTCTAGATTCTTATGATCTGTGAGAATTTTAAATTTCTTTACACTTTGTAGCTCAGCATCTCATTTCTTTAAACACTCAATTATTATTAATAACTTCTTATCATGAATCTCATAGTTGCATTCTGCAGGTAAATGCTTGCAAGAGAAGAAGGCATATGAGTGTAGAATGCTCTGCTCATTATATTGTAGCAGCACTTCTTCTGAGACATAATCTGAGAAGTCTGTTTTCACTATAGTCTCACAGTCAGAGTCAAATTAAAGCAGTATTGAAGTGAAGATAAACATTGATTTTAGACACTTAAAAGCTTTCTCAACCTTGCTCATCCACAAAAAAGGAACATTCTTGCATGTAAGAATTGTCAATGAGATCACAATCTTTGAGAAATTTCTGATAAATTATCTATAGAAATTGATAAAGTCTAAAAATCCTCATACATTCTTAAGAGTAGTAGATGTTGTTCATTTCAAAACAGCTTTAATCTTCTCTGAATTCATTCATATACTCTTGTCTGCTTCAATGATGAATTCAAGATATTTTGTGCTGTTCATCTCAAACTCACTCTTTCTGATGTCTGCCTGCAGGCTATAAGGGGTTGAACCCCTAGATTTGCTCTGGCTGGCTGACTCAGCCTAGTCATCATTCACATGTGCGCACGTGATCATGCTACGCGAGCTTGCTTAAGCTTGAGTTCTCATCTCATTCTTTTCTTCCCTTTCTCAAGCAATTCGTCCTTGTTATATAGGAGGACTAGCCTCTAATTCTTAGAGCTTAACCCTTTACATTACAAATTGCTTCACTCCTTTCATTGATAGGCCACTGAGAGTCTTAATTCTGTATCATGAAGCTCAGCAAATATGCTGACATATGATAGACTATTGAGAGCCTTAAATCCTGCATCATGAAGTTCAGTGATAGCACTGGTATATGAATAGACTGAGTTAGCAATCATGCTAACAAATAAACAAGCAACATTGAAAATGTCTAGCTGAATGAGATAAAGCAGCAGACTTGTACAACAAATGAATCAATATGAAGCAATGAGCAGGGACACTCTCAGCAGCTTTGAACAACAATGGATGACCTTTCTTCAACAGCAGAAACAGGTCCAGTGTGAGAACAGAGATTTAATAGCAGCTCAGCAAGCTGAAATAGCTAATCTACAACAAGCTTTGAACACTCTGACATCAACTCTCTATTAATTGAATTCACAATCACTTATTGCAGTCAGAAGATCAAAGATCAAGCTACTGGATTATGAGAAGTATGATGATTCTAATCTGAAGCACTACTCTCAGTGGGAGCTAAAGCTTCAATCAAAACTTAAGATCAATGGAAAAGCTTTAGGTAATAATGAGGAATGTACTTGGTATGTGTACTCAAGACTGGAAAAAATGACAGCAGCTCAAGTTTACCCCTGAGTTGAGAATAATAAGAACAAGATCAACTTCACAGTAGAGAGCTTACTGAAGCAGATACACATGCTCTTTAGTGATTCTGCACAACAGGAAAAGACTATGCAAAAGCTCAACAATCTACAATAGAGTAGAAAAGCTCTCTTTGACTTTCTATCTGAATTTAATCAGCTACTACTGGAAGCTGATGGTCACAAATAAAATGATCACATTAAAAAGAGGTATTTGAAATCTGCTCTAAGCATGGAGCTGAGAGAAGGCATGATGGGTGTAAGAGAACTGTGTCTCTACAAGAATTACTGCAAGAAGCTTAGATTAGTTGATCATCAACTCTCTGAGCTTAAGACTTTAATACAGTGATCTAAACATCACAAGAGCAGATCTTCTTCAGATCATATGATATCTAATTCACACTCTCTACTTTGTCATGCTGTCCTTGACTGATGAAACTGATCTCAAGCTTCCACTAATGATCTGATGGATCTCTATTCTGATGCTGTGACCCCAAGCACCCACCACATCAAATTGATAAATCAGATAGAGGTTAATTGACAAAGAAAGCAAGGCCTGTGCTTGAGATATGAAGTCAGAGGTCATATGATTAAGAGCTGTCTGTTCAAACTTTTCAGACACCTTGCCACTCTCATGATAGCTAAGGTGATCCCTGAGCCAGTACTGGACAATGACAATGTGAATATCAGTGAGGATTTGGGAAAAGAGTAGCTTCAATCAAAAAACACTGGAAGGAGTGAAATAAGAAGCTTATGAGAAAGTAATGGAGAAGATTTAAATCTAAGATGATATTCAAACCTTTCACTGTCAATGCTCTAGCAGATAATGCCTTTTTGACTAGAGCAATGATAGACAGTGGATGTAATGTCTATGATCTTATTTCTCAATTCTACATTAACAAGCATAAGCTTCTGTGCATTGAAATTCCCCCTGTTAAAATGACCAGCTTTGAAGACTTCATGGGACTCTCCACAAGTATAGTGACTGGCATTCAAATTGATATAGGCAGTCACATAACTGAATGAGCCTTTCTCTATGTGGTGAATGAGTTACATGGTCATGATATGTATCTAGGCGACCCCTGGCTGGCCCAGCAAAAGGTGACCATGATCCCTCATCAAAGAATTGTGAGATTTGAAGAGAGTGGCATAGAGGTAGAGCCTAGTTCAA